AAGAGGAACCCAGTGGAACCCAATGGAGATCCCCTGATGGGAACCCAATGGAGACGCCCCCATGGGAACCCAATGGAGATGTCCCGATGGAACCCAATGGAGATCCCCCAATGGAACCCGATGGAGATGCCCCCATGGGAACCCAACAGAGACGCCCAATTGGAACCCAATGGAGATCCCCCGATGGAACCCAATGGAGATGCCCCTGCGGGAACCCAATGAAGATGCCCCGATGGAACCCAATGGAGATGCCCCGAGGGAACCCAATGGAGATGCCCCGAGGGAACCCAATGGAGATGCCCCGAGGGAACCCAATGGAGATGCCCCGAGGGAACCCAATGGAGATGCCCCGAGGGAACCCAATGGAGATGCCCCGAGGGAACCCAATGGAGATGCCCCGAGGGAACCCAATGGAGATGCCCCGAGGGAACCCAATGGAGATGCCCCGAGGGAACCCAATGGAGATGCCCCGATGGAACCCAATGGAGATGTCCCGATGGGAACCCAATGGAGATGTCCCGATGGAACCTGATAGAGATCCCCCGATGGAACCCAATGGAGACGCCCCCATGAGAACCCAATGGAGATGTCCCGATGGAACCCGATGGAGATGCCCCGATGGGATCCCAATGGAGATGCCCCCATGGGAACTCAATGGAGACGCCCCTGGAGGATCTCATCAGAGACGCCCCCATGGGAACCCAATGGAGATCCCCCGATGGAACCCGATGGAGATGCCCCCACGGGAACCCAATGGAGGTCTCAACGGGACCCCAAAGGAGATCCCAATGGGGACTCTTCAGTGGGACTCTAAGTGGACCCCAAAGGGAGACCCCAAGGAGGCGGCAATGGAGACCCAACGGGAATACCCCAACCGGAACCCAAGGGGACCCCAAAGGGAGACCCCAAAGGGGACACCCCAACAGGAATTCAAGGAGACCCCAAAGGGAGACCCCAAGGAGATGGCAATGGAGATCCAAAAGGGGACACCCCAATGGGGACCCAAGGGGACCCCAAGTGGAGACCCCAAGGGGACCTCAAGGGGACGGCGATGGAGGTCCCAACGGACACACCCCAACAGGGACCC